TCTTTTTGTTTTTGTTTTGAGTCAAGTATATGTGTGGCAAAGTGTTTCTCTTGTTACAACACCCTTCACCCCTCACAATTCTCATTTCTTTCATTCACAGGTGAGAGAACAGAGCTCACCCTCCCAATAGTTTTTTTCTATAGAAGTCCTTGTTCTAGTGAAATTGGTTAAGAAACAGGAGTACCATCTTTTAAAAGGAAGGTAAATCTTATACTGCAGGATATTGACTAAGAAGAAGTTAAGCAAGAGCTATTTGTGGAGGTTTGACTTTGGAAAGGAAGTTTGTTGAATTGAGTTAAAATATGAGATGGGGAGACAGAAGTCCCTTTTGTCAAACCAAGAATAGTGTAAGGTAAAACTACGAGTGACAGCGTGCACTTACAGAGCACTGACTGGGAGCCAGGCACTTTGTTCGGTATTTACACAGATTAACTCGTTCTTAACAGCAACACCCTGAGGGACACAGTATTATTATTTCCATTTCGCAAATAAGAAAACTGAAGCACAGAGAGGTTTAAGAGGTTAAATCTTTTGCAGAACAATATTTAGGTGAGTTCAACATTATCTTCTTTTAACCCCATTTTAGAGATTTTGGCCCTAAATGGGATGGGGTGGTGGTGGTATAGAGAATAGAAATTATAAATACTTTAAATTATACACATGAATCCAGCAAACCAAATCTCAATATACATCCATTAACCCCCCACTCCAAGCTAGAATTCATTCACTCAGTTGGCAGATATGCATTGGGAATCTTCTAATGTCAGATACTGTATACTCCTCCCCCACCCCACATTTTAGCTACGTCAAGACTTTGACCGCAGTGTATTCTGGAGGTCTTCAGAGAGAGTAATGTTTTTCTTTGTAAAAGTTTATATTTCACTTTTAAAAGGGGAAATCATCTGATAAAAGGATATTTATTATTGAAGCAAAATTATTTCTTAATCCTACCCACTTATATCTTTTATTTATGTAGTAGACATTCACTTTTATGGTTTTCAGTAAGTCTGTAACATTGTAAGCTATTAGACTTTGAAACTTTAATAACAAGTGCTTGAGGGTACGCTTCGTTTGGCTCTCCTAGCCCTTGGATATATCCAGATATATGACGTTGATGTAGATACCTTGTATTTTCAGAAAGCACAATATTTGCATCCAGTGTTGTTTTAGGTTGTTTTGGAATGCTAATGGACAATAGTTTTCATCTTTGGCCTAAAAATAAGATTGTGAATCCATTTCCCAGTCTTTAGAGAAGTACCTCTGATGATTTACCAAAGGTACAAATCACTTCCTTGCCAGAACAGGACACCTTGAAGATGGAGCTGCCTGTAAATAAGCAGAAGAGAGCGTTTACTGGGGACAGAGGTGCAGTCACTGCACTGGTAGTATAGCATTTGATGGCTGTGAACACTAGTGGTAAGAGACAGGGAATCAGCTCATACCAGGTAGGGACAGAGCCTAATAATGAGAATGGAGAGTTTCGACATGTATGAAGAAAAACACTACTTGGAGTATAGGTTTTACTCATATAATTGGAGAAAGAGTTGTTTTTTCTAAACTGGGTATTTTAAATTGTTACTTGATAATCTCAGTAAGTCATCTCATATTCCGTGTGCAAATAATTTAGTTTAAAAGTAAAATAAAAATGATTCTGTACTATGTAGTATACTTTTATTTTACATTTTTTACTAGCAGTAAGCAAAATCTACTTCCGAGCTCTATCGAAGCACTTTTATGTAGTGAAACTATATTGTATTTATACTGTTATTCTTCAAACGGCATACTATTTTAGAAAATAACTAGTATGACATGTTCATAATTAGAATCATAAAAAATATTCTGACAAATTCTAAGAGCTCAGTATTCTACTTGATGAAAGCTAAGAACTAATATAAGGATAAGACGAAATAAATATAATGTGACATATATAATACCCCTACATCTGTGGCATAACACCATAGTATTTCTTTCTTAAATTAATAATAGACTTCTATAATACACTTGGCCAGCAGGACATGTGAAATATATTTATTTATGTATTTATTCCCTCAGCAAATATTATTGACCACTTCCGTGATCAAGCCCCCGTACGAGGCAGCAGGGACACACACAATGGTGAATAAGACATACTCCCATCACTTCCTGCGCTTCGAGTTCCGTGGGGAAGATAGACAAAGACAAACAAAACTAAGGGGAAAAATGACAAATTGTGGCATATGCTATTAAAGAACAAATAGACTAGTCAACATAGACACCCAAATTATAAAATTGTAATTGATCAGTGAGATTGAGATCTGTTTCCTTTTTATGCCTTGGTATTTCATACTGGTATCTTGTTCCATAATAACTTTGAAAAGGGCTGATAGACTCGACAAAATTGTTTCTATATATTTATTTATGCAACAAAAAAATTGATACCTATATGCCAGGCACTGATCTAAGCCCAAGAGAAAGAGCCGTGAACAAAACAAAGTCATTGTGTTGTGGTGATTTCACCCTAGTGGGAAGTCAGTAAACAAATATATACTAAGTGTCAGGGAGCGATGAATGATAAGAACAGAAACAAAGCAGATTAAGAGGATGGAGAGTGACCAGAATACTATTTTATTTGGGTGGACTGCGAAGGAGTCTCTGAAGAGGTAGAAGTTTTCTCAAAGTTTTCCTCCTTTTGTCTCTTGGTCAATTTAGCTAATGTATGCAGATGCAAGAGAATTCTTGTATCTGTTGGTATCATTTACATGTTAATTTAGACAGCCTACTTCTTTCTTATTCTTTACCACTAAGATTAATACCTGAACTCTTCTCTTCTTTACTTTATCACTCTTCCATGTATTAAGTACTGAAGCACCTTCATCCATTCATTCCTTTATTCTTCATCCAGAAATAATGATTTGATATCTCTTCTGATTTTACAAAATCTTGGAATATGATTCACTTGATTAAAAAACATACAAGTAATGAACTTCAAAAAGTTTGTGGAAAAATGAAAAAATAAGGTGAATCTTATAAGAGTTTTTCATTTTTCCACGAACTTTTTTTTTTTTTTTTTGTCTCTTTTTTCCGTGTCCGGCAACGGATCGCAACCCTCAGTGTCGCCCCCGTACCGGACCGGGACCGGCAACGGGATCGCAACCCTCGGTGTTGCCCCCGCGCCTCGCCAAGCCAGTGAGCTGGAACCGGTCTGTATGTGGGATCCGAACCCTCGGCGGGAGCGCTGCCGCGCTTCCCAAGCAGCGCACTAGCGCAGTGCGCCACCGGGCCGGCCCTTTCCACGAACTTTTTGAAGTACCTTCATATTCTATAATTAAATGTCTTCCAGATATTCGATTATAAAGTGGAATTGCTTCTGGAGAGGGCGCTTTTATCTGAGTTTTTCTTCTGGTGAACTCATAGTCATCGAAATTTGATGTCTTGGGTGATGTTACAGTGATTCCAGACTTAATGCCTAAAAGCCCTTAATAAAATTGTGCACTGCTCAAGTGTTCTATAGCACTGCACAAGTCTAAAACAGGTAGCTGGCACCCACTCCACAACTCACTGTTGGCTAACTGACTTGTCCCAGAAATAGCTCAGTGTTATGCGATCAGACAACTACAACTAGCAGAGAAGTGATTTTTGTTTCCTGCCACATATGTTTAGTCTGTGGTAGACAACAAAATCCAGGTCCAATTCACTGGACTCTAACAGTAACATAGTTCTTAGGAGAATTGTGCAAATCAGTAGCCAAATCATTTTGGATGGAATTCAAGATAGCCCTGCCTTATATAAAATTCCACATTATGGAAAATAGTGTTAGAGCAAGATTCAGTTGTAGTCACTTCAGTTACATGAAGTAATGGTGCTGCCCCAATCTGGTTAGTCTCAGACAGTCTCTGCCAAATGAGCTAAAAACTCTCAGGTGAGTCTGAGGAAGCATCATGGTAGTTTTGTGAAACCATTTTTCTCAGGGAACAGTTATTCTGTTTTATGGAATGAAGTGTCGCCTGATTCTACAAATGCAATAAAGCCAATAGAGATCTTTAAAAACAAAAACAAAAACAAGAAAGCATTTTTCTGAAATCAAGAGAATGTTTTAACAACCTCCCACTATTGGAATAGTGCAGTTCTTGTTTCTAACTCTTAGGAGGAATGTATTGTTTTTGTGTCTGAAAGATTTTTAAATGCTACAATTTATCAGAACATTGCTTCATAAATTCCTTAGCAATAACTCAGAAGGTGAATCGTGGGGTATTGATCCAAATAAATCTGTGCTCTTTGTGTGCAAAGCATTGCTGCTTAGGTAACCAGTGATAATACATAGGATTCGATTCATGCTTAGATATTTTCTTTTCTTTTACTGGGCTCTTTTTCAAAATGGCAGTATGTTTATTGCATTTCTTAAAGTCAAAATACCAAATCTAAAACAAGTAATTAAAAAAAAAGTTCCTCTGTTAATTATTTATTATTACTGTTGAAATGCTGCTTTCCATTGCTGATGATTTTGAACAGCAGAGTGCACCTATGATATCAAAGCTGTCAGCAGTTCTTTTCCTAATGCTGGTTTTGTACTTTTGTTTATAAGAACTAAGTACATTTTCCAGTCAGAACTTCATAAACATAGCTGTGGACTTTTCCATGGCCACACTGAATGTCTACATTTTGAAAACATTTTAAAGCTAAAATTCAGTTCAAGAATACTGATCTTTGGGCCGGCCCGGTGGCTCACTCGGGAGAGTGCGGTGCTGATAACACCAAGGCCCCGGGTTCGGATCCCATATAGGGATGGCCGGTTCGCTCACTGGCTGAGCGTGGTGCTGATAACACCAAATCAAGGGTTAAGATCCCCTTACTGGACATCTTTAAAAAAAAAAAAAGAATACTGATCTTTCGTCTGCCAAGAAAGCTAAAAAAGCATTTATGTCTAAAACTGTGTAAAAATTTACTCTAGTGGATTTAAAAGGTGAATAAAAAAAACAAAAAACACCCAAACTTCTGATTGTTTGTTTAGCAGGTTGTAAACCATGGCTGTGTGGATACAAGCTCAGCAGCTCCAAGGAGATGCCCTCCATCAGATGCAGGCGTTATATGGTCAGCATTTCCCCATTGAGGTTCGACATTATTTATCCCAGTGGATTGAAAGCCAAGCTTGGTAAGTGAACAAAGTTTTTTTACATCATATTTTGTGAAGCACAAGAATATTGAAGTTACATTAGAAAGATGTCACGATGGCGACTTTAAAAGTTGTGTTTAAAAAAATTTTTATGCGATCCATGAAAAGGTATTTAACCCTGTCTTAGATTTAGGAAATGAAATAAGTCTTGGGATTTTTAAAACAGGATTTGTTCCTTTTTATGATAAATACTGGTTAAAAGCATTAGAGTGTTGCTGCTAATGAAGAACAATCAACAAATATGTTTTGAGTGCCTATAGGGTGCCTAGCAGTATTGGAGGTAGTGAAAAAATTAATTCCCTTGTTCCCAGAGAATTTAGTGTTTAATGTGGCAGATAAGGTATGAATATGCATATAATTTAATTATAATTTATTACAATTAATTTTACTAAATGTAAATTATTTTACATTTATTAAATTAATGGATTTAGGGGCCGGCCCGTGGCTCACTTGGGAGAGTGCGGTGCTGATAACACCAAGGCCGAGGGTTCGGATCCCTATTAGCGATGGCCAGTTAGCTCACTTGGGAGAGAGTGGTGCTGACAACACCAAGTCAAGGGTTAAGATCCCCTTACCTGTCATCTTTATAGAAAAAAAAATTAATGAATTTACATCTAATTAAAGTGATTATTTAATAAAATGAATAATTTAGCAGTGGAGACATCAGTGTTTTTAAATTTATGTGTATTTATATATACACATATAGACTAAAAAAATACACCAAAATATTAACAATAATTACATTTTGGTGGTGGATTTAACAAGCATTTTAGATTTTATCTTCCAAATTACTGATTTCATCCTTGGGGAGGGGGTTTGTTTTAAAATTCTTTTAGAATGAGTATAATGCATTCGACTGACTACACAGCTTTTTAATTGGCAACATTATTACAAGCCAGGCAACAGGTTGTGCACCATTCTGCTCAGGGCCTGGGAGGTTGATGGTTGGGTACAGTCTGTCAGTCAACCTGACATATTCATTAGATACTTCAGGCCTCCACCATCATGGCCAGGGGTCCTCTGACAGCTCCTGGGAGAAACCACCAGCTTTGATGCTGCTGTTTGAAGAAGGCTGTATACCTTTCAGTGATATTGCCTTGGAGTAATTGCAATTATATGTTTGTACCAGATTTCTGTTCAGAAACGAGAACGCACCAAGGAAGGCAATTTTCTAAGCAATTAAAAAAACTCAGCTTCGTGTAATTAAGGGAGGGAAAAAAGAGCTAAGTATGAGGTCAGCTGTACCTTGTTTAGTGCTTTTCCATTCCCTTTTCGTTTTGTTTTCTGTTTTAATGACCCGGAGAATTTAGAAAAACATGAGTTGGAAGTTTCTGGTAATTTAAAATTTCATTTAGCAGATTTCCCATGTAGTCTTCTTACTAGAATGAGTGTTAAAAGACTTATGTTGATACTAAGGAAAACCTGCATTTTACTTAGTTTTGGTTTTCTTAAGAATATATAAAGATTTTAATAAAAAAGTCTTCAATTCTTCATGTTTAAGCTGTCTATGCAAGTTTTTTTTTAAACAGCAAATTAGGTTTTCAAATAAAGAACTAATACTTTATGAGTTTTGCTCAGAGACTGGATCCTCTCAAGGTTGGGTTTCCCAGACAAGGAGCATTACTGCCAGTCAAAACAGAGGTGCAGGGGTGCCCTTCATTCCTTCCAGGCTTTTATTTAATACATATTTTATTTAACACACAGAGCATATGTGTTTAACATTTGGCTTGCCTCTCAAAGTGCAGATTTGGGTATACTGTTTGATGAAGTACAGTATCAATGTTTTGGCACACCTGTTTGTGCCTGTATTTAGAATTAATTGCTAACTTCAGGGATTTAGAGATGACAGAGCCTTTAGCTACCACTAGATCTCTTGTTTGGCTCCAGACCCTGTCAGCAGTAATTGAATGTTATTTCAGTCTGACAGCTGTTTGGTTTCTTCAGCAAGCTAAGCAATTTCGTACTGCCTAGTAGCAATTGTTGCCTAAGTTGTAGAAAGAAAGGAGGGAGGGAGGAAGACCATCCAACCCCTGTTACCAGTCAAATGGCTCTGAATTAATGCAAAGTCTGTACAGTGGTTTCTCTTGTTCACTGGAAAAGTCAGCATTGCCTACAGGTCCCAGATCTGCAGCTAGTGATATAGACATCTGAAATGTAAATACTCAGAGGAACCTTCTGCCTTAATGTCTCATTGCCAGGGCTCCTTAGAAATAGCAATAACTGTTGTTTCACCTGTCTCTACTTAAGAAATACTCAGTGTGAAAGTAGCAACATAGACATCAAACTTGTCAAGGCAAGAAAGGCCGTGTAGAACAGTCTTAACCTTGTGCCCCCTTGACACCCTTGAATGGTAACTATAAATAGGAAATTATCAGAGTTCTTATTTCCTTCAGAGCACACAAAGCTCTTTCCTTTTCCCTTCGTTTCTAGCAGATAGTATAGGCACTAGAGCAAGTCAGTAGGAGGAAGGAGAAACGGCAGGATATTGTCTGAAAAAAGAAATGAAAATATACTGTACAGTCCAGCTGAAGTAATTAGTAGATTGTGAATAGATTCATGTAGGCATTTAGTCAATTTGTGTTGCGCTGTTTCTTAAAATTTGCAGTGAGCATTAAGGAGAAATCACTTTACTCAAAGAACAAGTGTATATGTTGAGGCTGCATTTATTCAGGCTCACATGCATGTATGTATACAGATTATGTAATTTTTTTCCCCTAGGGACTCAATAGATCTTGATAATCCACAGGAGAACATTAAGGCCACTCAGCTCCTGGAGGGCCTGGTGCAAGAGCTGCAGAAGAAGGCGGAGCACCAGGTGGGGGAAGATGGGTTTTTACTGAAGATCAAGCTGGGGCACTATGCCACGCAGCTCCAGGTGGGTGTGAACTCTGGGGTCACATTTAAATCTCTTCCCCACAAGGGCTTCTTCCTTCACTTCAGTGCTTCCTGTAGAGACTTTCATTCTCTTCTTCAACCCAACATTGTTGAGTGACGTGGTACATGCATAAGGTTCTTATTGTTTAGTTTTGTGGTTGTGGCCTTTTTAAAAAAAAAAACTTCATTTGAAAATAGTTTCAAACTTACAGAAAGTCGCAAGAATGATACAAAGAACCAACCCCTGCCTATGCCCCAGTTCACCTGTTGTTAATATTTGCTTTATCTTCTTCTCCTCACTCTCTCTCCGCACAGTGTTCAGTCACTTGAGAGTAAGTTGCACATCATGTTCCTTTATCCCTGAGTACTTCAGTGTGCATATTCTAAGAATATGAACCTTCTTTTACATGGTTATAATATGGTCATCAGCTTTAGTAAATTTAACATTGATACAGTACTTTCAGGTAATCTGTGTTTGCATTTTGTCAACTTTCTCAGAAGTCCTTTAGGGGCTGGCTGGTTAGCTCAGTTGGTTAGAGCATGGTGCTGATAACATGAAGGTCCCAGGGTTCTGTCCCTGTACCGGCCAGCTGCCAAAAAAAAAAAAAAAAAATGTCCTTGAGGGCATTTTTCCCCCTCTAGTCCAGGATCCAGTCCAAGATTACATATTGCATCTAGTTGTCATGTCTCTTTAATCTCCTTTAATCTGGAACCATTTTGCAATCTTACTTTGCCTTGTATTACATTGACATTTAAAAATAATTCACCTACCCTACTTTTTAAAGATAAAATATTCCTCATTTTGGGTTTGTCTGATGTTCCCTCATGATTAGATTCATGTTGCACATCCCCAGTCAGAATTCTAAATAAGCAATGTTGTATCACATCCAGAGACACAAAGTGTCCATCTTCCTCTCGCTTGGTTGCCCAGTCAAGGTGGTACCCGGTTTCAACTCTGGTGTGGCCTTTTTAAAATTTATTTATCCTGTTTCCATGAATTTTGCTGTAGTACTTTAGGCAAATTAAGATGCAAGAAATAAAATAATCTTACCTTGTTACTGTAATTGGGTTTTCTACGATGTACTTTCTTTTTCCCGTTGTAATAGAGGAGCAGCATTTCCTATGACTGTGCCATCATGTCTCCAGAGTGTTCTCCATCATGTGAGCTCCCTGTTCTGAGGCAGGGTGAGGCCCCATAGCATGGAGTGGGACAAAGTGATGTCTACTCTTGGACTCTTTCAGAACACATACGACCGCTGCCCCATGGAGCTGGTCCGATGCATTCGCCATATCTTGTACAATGAACAGAGGCTGGTCCGAGAAGCCAACAATGTGAGTGTCCCGTGGGTATGGGGAGAGGGGTTGGGGGAAGTTTCTTTTTACCCTCCTTTTTTTAAAAAAAAAAAAAAAAAAAGATGACCGGTGAGGGGATCTCAACCCTTGACTTGGTGTTGTCAGCACCACGCTCACCCAGCAAGCAAACCGGCCATCCCTATATAGGATCCGAAGCCATGGCCTTGGTGTTATCAGCACCACACTCTCCCGAGTGAGCCACGGGCTGGCCCTACCCTCCTTTCTCTGGACCCAACTTGTCAAGGTGGACCCAACTTGTCAAGGTGACTCAGTGTGGATCTAGTGGCATGTCTTTAAAGAGACGATGTCCTAAGGAGCACAAAAGAAATAGAAGAAGAGGTCTCCAATCTTACCTAATTTATTGCAACCACAAAACAATGTGAACAAGTGCAAAATGATGTAATTTTTGAGTAAAGGCATTCTTATATTTAGGTGAGATCACTTAGGAAAGACTTCTGCTTAGCGCCTCTGAGCCGGGTGTGAAGGAACAGGTCAGGACAGATCACTTAAATGGCTAGACCCACAGGGGCCTTGTTATGCCACCTCATAACTTCAGTTGGGGGTCTTCAGGATGCCCGTGAGAGGTTTAGCCTCTTGCACGATGAAATCAAATTATTCTGTCATAAGGTTATCTTGAGTGAGGACACAGACAATGTGTGGATAGACAGACACTGTTTCCCACAGTGTCCCTGGCACCTATTACAGTCTGTGGCATTGGGTCAGCAAGTGGATGTGGAATGAGGGGGTCAACATCATTAGTAGGAGAACCCAGTTGACACCTGGGATGTGTTGCATTCTAGTCACTCCAAAGCGAATTAAAGAGACCCTGTTTGGGATAATCTGGTGCAGGCCAGATCTGAGATAGAAGTTTCTACTATGCTTTATGAAGGTGTCATGTTTTGTCATGTTGCTTATTTCTCTGCTTTTCCCACTCCACCCCAATCCTCACAGATGACATTCGCTATTCTTTCTGACTCAAAATTTAGCTTTTGGGGTCTTAGCCTGTTGTAGAAGCTGGCATCGACTTTTCCTGGGGATTAAGGCCTGAGGCTTCTTCCCATCCCCAACTGCTCTGCACCCTCCCCCTGATGTCTCCAGGGTAGTTCTCCGGCTGGAAGTCTTGCTGACGCCATGTCCCAGAAGCATCTTCAGATCAACCAGACATTTGAGGAGCTGCGACTGGTCACACAGGACACAGAGAATGAGCTGAAGAAGCTGCAGCAGACTCAGGAGTACTTCATCATCCAGTATCAGGAGAGCCTGAGGATTCAAGGTAAAGGCGGGAGGTTGGGGGGGGGGGGGGGGGG